GCCAAAGTACTGCGGGCAACTGTGGTGGTTGAAATAGGGGCAACCTATCTGCCTGGCTGGCCCCTGGCCGCGTGTTGCGTTTGTAGCAGTCGCCTATTGCTCACGGCGGCCGAGTTGCGACTTTATATTGCACTGCGCCTCGAGCTCGCACCGCGCGCGTCCCGGGCGGGGGGGCAGCGTGTGTCGGCCCGTCCCCGCAGCCACATGCACAGGCTGCGCCCCTTGCACGAACTCGTCGCGAGAAATTGAAAGTAGTTTTGCAAAGCCTCGCCAAAGGGAGCCGGGCCCGTTTCCTGTTTGTGGAGCTGCTGGAGCTGCTGGAGCTGCTGGAGCTGCTTGAGCAGAGCGGAGTTGATCGACGCGACACCGAGCGCCAAGCGCCACGGGCCGGACGACGAGCTGCTGCGGTGGCTAGCCCGAGACCGGCATAACATAATCACAGAGGTTAAAACGGTACGGGTCAGTCAGGATACTGCTGGGCAGGCGGCCCCTCCAACCCCACCCTTGCTGGCTCGACCGCTTTCCCTTCAAGGGAAGAAAATTAAGAATACCGTGTCGAGGAATACAACTCCCTACCTCTCCCCCCTGACACCTTAACACCCCTCGAGCGCCTCCCCTCCCCCCTCTGACCCAGACTGACCGTTTGTGACCGCAGTCCGACCGACCTGACCCACATCGGCCGCATAGCGATGCCCCTCCCTCTCTCTCTCTCCTCCAGCTCGATACAGTACGCCGGGGCCGGCGCCGCGCAGCCCGATACCGACGGGATGTCACGCGAATCGATGTTGTACCCTCCGGTCCCCTCGGGCCGGCGCGGACACGCGGACACGTGCGTGTCCCTGCTCGCCGTCCTTGTCGCTCTCGCTCTCGCCGAGGGAGTGTGACAGGGACGGCGGCGCTGGCCGGGGCGCTGGCCGCCTCATGGTCACACGCCGGGCCGGGCCCGGACAGCTGGGGGTGGCGACGCCCACGTGCCATAGGGCCGGGCCGCGGGGCCGCACAACTACACCGGCCAAGCGCGGTGTGCACACATGAGGACATCTTCCGATAAACCACAGCTCTTGTGCTACTGGAAATGCTTTAGAAAATCACAACACCCCCCAAAAAGGAGGTTCTCGAATCAAGTGAATCCTTTCAATATCCTTGGAACGAGTCAATTTCCAAGTCCTGTGCGAGGAAGTTCCCTTGTCCCAAGGATATTTACTGGATTGAAGAACCCCCTTTTTTGGGCGAAGAGAATATTACATAGAATCGGTGGTCTAGTAGAGTACACAAACTGTACATTAGTTGGGCACCCTTAGGTGGCCCATAAGGCCGAGGGCTGCAGACCTCATTGGGATGCGCCCACCCGCCAGAGCACAGACCCACCGCAATGTGGATAGTGTGTCGTCTGTCGGGGTCGGGCTGCTGTTCGTGTCGACGCGGTCGCGCCTCGGCTGCACGGCACCGGAGCGCCCAGCCGGCCGAGCCCACACTGATGGGGTGAGTACTGTTACGTGTACGTAACTTCCGCACTCTTAACGTCTTCCTAACTACAAGGTGGGTGATCCGCGCCAAATATTTTTAATGCTTATACTGTACCGGATTCTTAGGTGCGGACGGGTTGCATACTCGCACGGCGCCGTAAGGCGCCCTGGCGAGCGACGGTAGGCAAGCCCGCCCGCACGCGTGAATCCGGTACAGTATAAGCATTAAACAAGTTGCAAGGTGTACCAAATAAATTTGCTACATAATTAATCTGCTCCTTCTTTACGGAATTTGTTTTGTGCTTGATGGGACACGTTGTTTTTGGTTTTGTGCATGTAGCGCCTGCAAAGCAGTAGGTAGGCAATCCCGCCATGCAGTCATGTGACATTGGTGGTGGTACGCGATACTGGAAGGGGTTCGGGTTGTGGGGTTTGAAATGGCGGTAAAGTCTTCTCGCCAGACAGTCCACGGCAAAAAAAAAGCTCAAACGGTTCAAGAGATATAAATTCTGAAAGTTTTGAGTCAAAAATAGCGGCTTTCAAGGGTGGTGTAGGTATTACTCTATGAATATGTCCAGTGAGGTAAAATATGACTAGACCATTTGAAAGAGGATAAAAAACTTATTCTAAACCACCAATGTCAAAAAGTTGGATTTGAATATTCTACCCTTCGATCAAAGATATCAACAAAATTTAGGATATTAGCGTAACTCTCATAGCAAATACATGGTCTCCAATTGTCACCAAATTTGGTGTACAGTTTCTTCTAAGGTCCCTTAACATTCTCTAATTTTTGTGGGAAGGTAATAT